CAGCAAGGAAAAGCGATATTCGGATATTGTATGGGAAGTCTTGTATTGCATGATCGATCGTCCGATGCAGATTTTGCCCCTCGGCTGTTTCTCCCCTTCTGGCAAGGGAGTTCAAAAGAGTGTATAAGCCGCCTGCTGAGTTACACGACATGCCGTCTAGAAAACCTGTTCCCACAAAAAGGTCAACACCTGCGTATATTGGCTTACACACATGCAAGAATGTCCTATTATAATAGTGTCGCGAGAAGTCACCTGACGGTATTCGCCGTTGCGCCGCTGTTGATGTGTAGCCACGTGAGCGAGAAAACCCCCGAGCACGAAAAGCCACTACCCACTACCATCGTGTCCACCATGTCACAATCGTCCACGACCGCAGCGTTCGCCACAATTACTGACTTCAAGTCGACGTTTCCAATGTTGGCCACCTGGTCGAAAAACGATATCTAGTCACGATTATTGCTGGGACTAGATTCTCCGTGCCGCAGAGGAAAAAAACGCCACGGCCACACTTCTTTCGAAGCATTGCACGACAAGAATGCGTCAAGCAGTTCGAGGAATCCAGCTACAGGCAACACTACGAGCTTGTACTCTGGTGAGACAAATGGCATCAGGAGAAAGGAACTTGCGACAAGGAGGATGTACACAACACAGAGGGCCAGAGGCAACACGCAGGGTCAGTGGCATCAATCGCGCTCAAGAAACGTTTTGCAGGCCAGAGGCCTGCCGATCACTGACGAAACCTTCATACCGACGTCAGAAACGCCCAAAAGGTATCAATGCGGCACCTGAAATGACCATTTACAGGTAACTCGTTGCAATTTCCTAGTCTTTGGCGCACCTGGAATGTGTACGTGACCGTTTCAAGCTTGTCCGCGTAGCCAACCACACCGTCGACTGTTCCATCCGTCCAGACACCGGTGCTCACTGCGTCGGGGAAAAATCGAGTATTCGCCGGAGAGAAGAACAGTCTCATGACCGAAAAGGCGTGAAGTTCGCATGTGTGGCGATTTTTCTCTACACATGCTAAGATGTTCTAACTTCACTCCGAAAGGAAACGTAAGTGGGCAAGCTACAGTCAGAGGATCAAGCGTAAGGCTCGAACTTTTGAGTGGACGATTGGTTCCCAAACCTCTTACCTTCGGACTCACGAAGTGCACCGTCATCGCACGCCAACTCATGCACCAAGGGCAACGCATCCCATGTGCTCGGGCAACAAATGGAATCACTCGTGAAATGACCTAAGTCCACTCGCGATGTCAACGCATACGTGTACTTTGCTTGTGAACGATATAGGAACACGGCACTGACAACGAAGCAGTTGCCAATCGTATCTCACCTATCTCGATGAGTGGGTTTTGCGCCAGCGGTTGTGGCCACGTGCTACTTTGGTCGTCGGGTGTTCCAACCGCGGCCGCGGATGTGACCGACGCGGTGTTGGACACGGTCCCAGCATTGATATCTGCTTGTGTGATCTGCGGTTGGGGAATACACATGGGCGTGACAGGACATCAACAGGGGTAAGTCGAAGCAACATGTGAGAGGCTTGTGGGCCCTTCAAGTTTCGTGTACGGCACAACGTTCGGTGTAATGCGACAAAGCTTTTGCGGCACCCCTTGGGGCGATGAACGGACTCACGACACGCGGCAGACAGCCTGCATGCACTCTTGCACAGTCGGTCACCGGCACTTCGAAACGCGCACCGATCACAACACCACATGAACATTGTTGACACGCTGCGCCAAATATCCAACCTGCTTCAACGTGCCACAGCGAGAACACAATACAAGAAGCTTCACACGCTGGCGGACATGGGCCCTCTTACTAGTAGTAGCGAGACCAGGCACATGTGCGCACGACCAAACATGTTTGGCGAGTCAGCCGGGTGCTGGCTAGGCTACGCACACAAATCAACCCCGCACGTACGCATAACTACAAGCGTACGTACACACCTGTCGAGACGCCGTGCAGGTGACCGAATCTCCCACACCCAAGGATGTCAAAGGCTGGCTGACAGCACCGCAGTTGACGTTGCCGCTCGTGTCGGTCACCTTAACGGTCTTCAACGTCACCGTGCCGGTATTTCTCACCGTAATCACATATTCTACTGTCTCCCCGGCATCCGGCCAGCCACTCGAATCAGAGTCCGACCATTCTCCTGTTTCATCTGCAACAACCAAAAGCAACAGTAACGAAATTGGCTGGTCAGCCCAACGCAATCCGATCGTTCTCCACATGGGTGTATCCGAGCGAAGGTTCGGTTTCACAGAGTCAAGCGAACCCTGCCTCAGACGACAACATGCCGAAGATTTCTCAGCCGTACATCTCTCGACGCGGTGTGGGTAGCAGACAACGAGCACTGACCAACTTGGACCAACGCCCGAGTGTTCAGCGACACTGGTACATCGACCGCGTTGAGTATGGTAGACGCATTCTTCGGATCAGCTGTCACCGTCGCGGCGCACTTGGCCTGTCCGAGGTCAATGTAGTCCTGGTCAACCTGTCGTCAGGTGGGACGAAACCGACGAACATGCAGACAATAGGAACCCCGTCGGACGTTTCCAATGGGAAGTTCACGGCGAGCAGCCTCACTCTGTAGGTGGGTGTCCTGACCTTTCGATGCGACAACAACCGGCCCTGGTGCGCAGGACGGTTCGCGCCCCTGTCGGGTGCTCATGTTTCGTCTCGTCCTGTCATGCTAGCTACCGTAGCGGCCAACACAATCACGTCGACGTCAATCTGTCCAATTGGACATCATGTGCTCGCACAACCCAATGCCCTCATCACCAATGAACAAGCAGTACACAAGGTCTGTCCTTTGCGCCCCTCTCTGCCACTGGGGAGGGACGCGGTATCAACCGCTACAGCCATGGCCAGTGCAGCGCCGTCTGCTAAGCCATACCATTCGTGTATCCACTCTACCTCGTAGGTCGTCGAACAATAGAATCCACCCCCCGGAGAAACATCCGCAGCTCCGCATTCAATGCAGCCATTGTCATTGCCAACGTTGTCGTCGGTCAAGCAGAAATTTCCCAGCGTCTGCGTCCCCGAGTTGCCGATCTCGTAGGTGCAGGTGATGGACTCGCCGACATTTGTCACGTGGTTGGCCTCGGCACCGTCCACCCAAGTCCCAGACGCACCTGTTTCGAAGTCAACAGGAACGCCTTGAGTGCCAGGATAAATTGGCATGCTACCGCTCGAAACGCTCTTCGACGAACGGCAGTCGTCCGTCGTCGTGCCTCCTCCAAACACATACCAGCACAGCACGCGAGCACATGACGCTCACCGATCGCCACCTCCGCACTGCCGAGAACAGCAAGGGTACTCTCCGGGCTTGCGGATGGAGGCAACCCATCTGGGCTCGTGAACGCTACGCGAGCTGTGTTGGTGCGCTCGCCGCTGTCCACGTCGGCTTGGGTGACGGTGTACGTGCCGAAGCACACAACGGGTTGGTCTTGCGGGCACAACCCTGGATGGATGAGGTGGGACGAGATCGTCCATTGGGCAACGACGTGAGGGAACGGAACGAGTGAGTGAACCGATAGCCGATTGTGACATCGCGCTACACTTTCTCGTTACACACCTGCGACCGACACGGTACGGCAGTAGCGCCCGCGAGACGAGACCCCATTCACGTCCTACCACGCGATTTCCTCGACGCATACTCGGTGCTGAGATCAAAACAACACCTGCGATGGACGGTGCCGTGGACCCCGGGCACTCGATCGAAGAGTCAACATCGTCGCTCACTACCACTTTGCCGAGACACGTGTTGCCCGTGTTGGTGACCTCCATCGTGTACTTGATCTCGTCTCCGACACCAGCAACTAGGTCGACTCCTTTCGACAGGGTCGCACTCAGCGCTGATTGCAGATATTCGTCAAGGAGAAGCGATGCACCAAGCACCCAGCGTACGACGGCGGAACGGCGTGTGGTGGGTTAGGGTGCAGGTCGACCTCGCCCCCATGTATCCACGAGGAGCCAAAGCTTGACACGAACCTCAAACAAACAGGGCGTACGAATTGACGTCAAGTCCTTCAGCAGGTGATACCATGACACTGGGCCTGGAATTTCAATAATCCTCAATGACCGTCTCGCCCGCGTGCCGCAATCGTCGCAGCAAGAGCGTGAAGAGTGGCTGCGAGCAATAGACGCATGAGATCCGACACGCCAGCCTGTGGTCGGCGTCGACCGGCGACACTTGCGGAGTGACTGCCACAGCCCTGACGCTCGATTGGCCTAGTACGGTAAGCGTGATGCGACACCTTGCACTACGTGTACCGAACTCCGAGGTCGTCCCCATGAAGCTAGCTAGCACACCTCAATCAACAGCCCTCACCGATTTCTAACGCCGATGACTGTATCAGATCTTCCGACGCGGATACGCCTTCCGAAATAGGCCCCAGAGGGCTTGTTGCTGATCTCACGGTAAGGATTGACACACTTCCGGCATCCACATCGCTTTGTTGCACCTGCGCGGTAGCAAGGGGGCGTCAGGGTTTCTCTACTTGATGGGTCCCCATCGCCACATCATTCTACTACAGACACACCTTGGCGTCGGCATGTTTGCCCCGATAGAAGAGAGTGGTGGAACGTAGCCGTGCCAGAGGCAGTTCTCCGACATCATCATGCCCTGGCTACATTACGTACGAAGTGCGTGTCTCGAGGAAAGTCGTGGTATGGGCCGGGCTGACCAAGGTGACAACCGTCGCTCGCCCAGGCGTGAGGGCATGCCATGAATTCGACTGTATGGTTGACAGTTTCATCAGCGCACCTCATATACCGCTTGACAGCTCACTACGCCGTTCGGCCCAAGCTCCAGGTTGTCGAGGCTAGGGTCGCACTGCAGCGCCGCGGCAGAGTTTCCGCTGGTACCGTTGAGACAACCGTTGAGGCAAAAGACATCACGGGTCAGCATCGATCTAGAAGACATTGCACTCGAAGCTCATCCGGGATAGTCGTTCACACAAGCTGCGGTGAAGTCAAGCGACCAAAACGACAATCTACGTGTCCCGCACCTTTGAACCTGAGCCACCAAGTCAGCGCTGGAGACATCAAGTGATGTCAGGGTTGTTGTACCAGTGTTGCTGAGGTCGATCGTGTACGCGATATGGTCCCCGGCGGAGTGGCCGATGTCGCCCGCATCTGGCATAGTGCACGCAGCCGTGGCGGATAGAAGCCCGGTTCTGTGTAGAGTCTCGGTCACCGTGGAGGAGTTCGCGATGAACCCTCCGGACGCCGGTTCACCTCTCAGGCTGCGAGGATAGATGAGTGGATGAACGGAAGATCCGAGCAAAGCACAGAAACGAGACGTCAGTCCGACCTCTGTCCCATGCACCTCGGTAGACATGAACCGTCTTCGCTCCATCTGACATGACAATCCCTAACCTCATCCATGAGCGCACTCACCTCGTAGTACTGCTGACGGAGCCAACGTCGATGTCGGCTTGGCTCAGCGTGTACATGGCGGTGCACGTGAATGACGTGTCGACCAGCCAGGGGCTGGGAATGTCGCCGCCGCAGTCAAGGTTGTAGCCACCTGGTAGGGAATGGCGTGGCACGGTGGTCATTGGCCGTACCAGGGACCATCACTCGGGGACAGCGACAATCACCAACGCTACACGAACGGATGTGAAGCTTTCGGCAGCTTTCCTTAGCATGGCTCACGAACGACGCTCGAAACACTCACCGGCATCGTTCTTGAACAGTTCGTTGGACACCACGGTGTTGTCAATGTCCACGTTTCCGCCATTGGTCATCGTGACTTCAAAGTCGATGGATTCTCCCACTCCGGCCAGGGCCGTGTCAAGATCAATCGCAACATAGGTCAACCGACTGACCATGTCAATATCGGCCACCTGATGGACCCCACGATCGAGACACACGGTGGGACACACTTGGTTTGTACCATAGGTTGGCGGTCGGCCAGGCACGAGGCTTGGCTTCAAGCGAGCTGATAAGCACACAGGAGCGGTGCAACTTCGACGGGGTAGGATGGGTGAACAGGATGGGTGAACAGGATGGGGGGACGTCATGTGCGACTCCCCAGTATATACAGTACCACAGAACGGGCGCCCAGCTTGATGCAGCTACGAAGAACAGGCCACGGCAACAGCCACGAGGGATGCCCATTGTGCCCGAGACCTTCTCGCGATGTCCCACGAATGCTGCCCCGCCTGTGAGAGAGAGCTCACGTACCTGGTTTAGGTTGATGGTCGACGTGGCCGGCTCACTCTTGATGGCATCGCTATCCAGGTGATCGGCGGTATCCTCGTGGTAAGCAAATGCCGTCACAGTATCCTTCTTCGCTCCAGCGTTGATCTGCATTCGGTGTGTGCGTGCAGGCCGTGTAAGACCAGAATGGCAACAACAAAGCGACGAAGGAAAAGATATTCGCCAAGACATCACGCAATAGGTACCCCAGCAATACCAAACTTCGTCGACACCCTCTGTCGCGGGGTCATGCACCGACGTGGCTATTCCTTTAGAGTGTGGTACATCACCTCTGCCTGAGACACGCTGCCCGTGGCACTGCATGTGAGAGACCCTGCGGGAGCCAAGCCATCGCTGGGGTAGCCGGCGAGGTCCTCGACTCTCCCGGGGCTCGACCCAGACACACTATCCCCGTCGGTGTTGACGCAGACGATGTCCACCAGACCCTCCGCATGGACCGCGATGTTGTATAGAGTCAGCAGGCCGTTGTTCTCGATGGTGTATACGTACTTGACCTCGTCGGCTGTGGTGGCGTTTTTGCCCTTGTTGGCGTAGGTCGATTCGAGACGGAGTTGGACAGAGCCGACCTGAAGAAGACAGCAGAGTAGCGCACAGTACCGGGATGCAGACAGCACGTGCGGGATCACGGTGGAGTTAGGTTGAGTGGGCGGCCTGCAACGCACCGCACGACCACAGCTCACCACAGGGAAATCAACCAGCCATCCGAGCGGAGTGTCTGCACAGGCTGCTTCCTCTCGTGACCTCGTCCCAACACGTTCACGCCGCTACAACGAGGGGCAAGGCGATACATGTACGTGCTTGTGCACGTCAACGGAAACAAACCGTCGAACGTCATAGAAGCGTCACCTGGTCGAGACCCACGGTCACGGTTCTCTCATCCTGTATCTCCGTCATGTACACGTCCACAGCCGTCACGGATGCCGAGCTGTGTCGCTCAAGGTTGTCCACATCGGCGGCCGTGACCGCATGAAAACCGGTGCACGTCACCTCGGCGTCCAAGGCCAGCGAAGACGCCAAAACCACGCCGTCTCCTTCAACGACGTAGGCCTCGGTACAGACCAGGGTCGACTGACCGCCTGCCATGGAACGGAATGGCACCACGCAGGTGTGTTGGACCGGAGCGAGCCCCGAGCTTTCGCTGAACGGATAGGCCTCACGAAGCTGACATACATGGTGATGGCGGCGAGGAGAGTCTGCCTAGAGCGAGGAAAGGATACTATTGTGACCGCGCATAGCAGCAGCCAGAGGAGCCGCCAATGCCTTCGTGGAGGGACGTACGCCTTACCGTGGAGATGAACGATGTCACACAACAACCAAATAGTCCTACCTCAGCATAGCAACGGGGCACTGGTACCTGAGACCAGCGATGCATCGCGGACGGTGACGTCGTTCAGCACGGCGTGCCCGTTGTTCGTGATTGCCAGAGTGTACCTGGCGTAGCGGAAGAATGAACAACCACACAGACACAGTATCAAGCGTGATTCGTGTTCCGAATATTCGCCATCGACGAATGTCGGCCACCTTGACAACTCGACAATCTCCGTTTCCTCACATACTCCAACTTCATGTGCGATATCAACTCCCAGATTCCGACCGCCCCGAATCATAGATTGCTACCAATAATGACGCGGGTCTCACTTGATGGTTTCGCCGACCGCAGCGTAGCCATCTTCAGGCTCCGACGCCGAATCATCCATGAACAACCCAGTCATGGCTTCAAGTGTTGAAACGCACAACATAGAGAGGCCGAAGACAGTTAGCAGCATCAAGACCAAGGACCCAGACACCATGCGTCAAGAGATCCATTGGACCATATCAGCACGTCGAGTAAGCATACAGTCCGACATTTGTCCATGTAGTGGTTGATATACCATATATACCGCTATCGTAAACGTCGGTCATTCTATGGCCGTCCACATCGAGCCAACCATGACCGAACGTTCCCGGCTGGTACCTAGCGAGATGGACGGCGGAGGCTTGAGCTCCACTTCGATATCTTCTGAGTCGGTGGCAGGCTCGGTGGTACGAGGGGCCGTCGCGGTGACCCTGTCGGCGGTTTCATTACAGCGAACGCCCGGCACACAACAGATGCGGTCCAGGTCAGCATACACTGGAATGTTGACAACGTCGCCGAAGGTATCGACGTTGCCGACTCTTGTTCATTCATCGTGCCTTCAGAAGTCCTACTGGCGATATCGTGTCACATGGCCACGCCCCAACCGCGCACTTGACAAGCCATCCATGTCGGACGCCATTGGTTCAATCTGGGCGACATGGCGGGCGGGGTATAGCCACTGTTGGCTTTCCTTTATGAAACCTCTACTATTTCGAGGTTTTTGCCAACGTGCCTTTGCACACATGTGCCCCCCCCTCTACTTTGACCAAGCCAGCCCCATCGACGCCATACGAGATCCACTCACGTAGCGCTGGTCAGCTTCGAGCCACTGTTGATGTCCGCCCACGTCAAGGAGTAGCTCCCTGTGCATGTGTATTGTACCCCCGCTCCAAGCCCGGCAACCACGCCACAGTCGTCTTCTATCGTCGCGTCCCACAAGGTTATCGCCGTCAGATCAACGTTTCCAATGTTCCGCACCTATTCCGACGTACGTTGTGTGGTGGCGGGAAACGAAGCGGATTCAAAGCAGCTACACGTGAGAATTCAACGACCGAGAAAACATTCTGCGGATAATATCTTCAGAGGGTCGGAGTGTTCCCTATACACCATGGGGGTATCGTTGTCTGCAGTCTACACCAACGGTTGATGACAGGAGATATTCGCGAGACTGGCAGGCCCGACCACGCCCAGACGATTCACTCCACCCTGCCCCTCATCGCTTTCACCGACGCCAATGACTGGCCTGTGTTACCAACAACCTCCCTTACCGTGAAAACGTAGCTGATGATCTCCGACTGGTCCGAGTAGTCGACCGTAGGCGTGTTAGGTTGGTCCTCCCATGTACCCGTACCGACTTTTCATTCCAGCACAACGAGGGTCGAAATTGGCCAGCAAGCATGTCATTGTTTCGATGTGTGTGGGGTCTGCACAAGTGCGACTGGACGGGCCACATACAGGCGATCGAGCAAAACCTTCGTTGTAAAGGTTCGTGCATTCGACCGAAATACGTTGGCATGAAACAAGCGAGCTTGTGTACCAGAGCCAGATCCATCAAGCGATATTCACGGGTGAAAGGTCGACCAACTCGTATACGTGCAATCATAGAGATCGATAGAATGTGGTCACCTAGGAGGATCTTCGCATCGTGCTCGAGGATTTCGGTCGAGACAGCGACCTTGGTCACGCCGTCTGCGGCGGTTGGTGCTGAAGCCGTTGCTGTGGCAGCGTTTGACACTCTCCCAGCATTGATCTCCGCTTGAGCGATCTTACGGGACGACGTGCGGTCAAGCACGAAGCAGTGAATAGGCCGAGAGGGACCCGCGAAGTTGCGCAAAAGAAGGGAGTTTCTCGAAAAATACATGTGACTTTGTATCGTGTGCATGGGGAGAGAGGATTTATTTCCTTGCTCCTAACGGGAAAGACTCGAAGGTTAGATGGAGAAATATTTATTGTTTATCGAATGTAGAAAAGCCTCTCGAATCCATCGAAAACTTTGTTGTCAGCAGTCCCCCCCTAGAAGGCCGTATGCAACGGGCGGAGAACGTACTTTTGAGGGAACAAGCCTCCCCCATAGTTTCTCATCTTAAGCGTGGTGGGGATTAAAACCCTTCGCTCGTGTGAGGGGGTACATACTTTGCTACGCACCTGGTGAGACACTGTGCACTCGTACGAATCCCCGACAGCAAGTTTGGCGACCGGTTGTGGGTTGCTGAGGCAAAGGACGGCGCCGCTCGTGCACACTACTTCCACTTCCTCCAGCGTCACCGTGCCAACGTTTGTGACGGTTATTGAGTAGTCAAGGGTTTCTCCAGCATCCGGGAAACCATCGTAATCATCGTCCGTCCATGCTACTTGGTTCACTGTGGGTGGGGTCAAACGGGCGAATATTAGGCACGCCCGAATGGTTGGTTTAGAATCTTACCTGGCGAAACGCTTTTTGTATGGCGTTGTCCGTGTTGCGGAAGGACAGCAAATTGACGCAGCGTTATCTTCCAAGTGCCCCTCTTGTGAATGCTGAAGTGAATCTCCGATACACACATGTGGCCACGGCGTTTTGCCTAGATAACATATTGTCAATAGTCCGTGTCATTGCCCAATACTTGTGCGATTCACCCGGTATGGTATGAAGCGTTTTTCTTGGTGGACGTGCTGGTGGATACCGATCGAAAGTACTGCCACTCACGAACGTGGAGCGATTCGTCAGTCTTCAAATCGACGACTGCGCTCGTGTCTCCTTGGACGGACTCCCCGTCCGCATAGTACGACTCGGCCGACACCGTTGCTGAGATCACGACCTCTCCAAGGTCCAGGTCGATTTGAGTGGCCTTTTGTATTTGCCGTCGAGCAGAACAAAGCAAACGAGGGTATCGGGCGCGGATCACTAGAAGTATGATAACGTCGTAGGCATATTGAGGGTATTTCTGGGTGGATGAGCCCCATTGTGGGGAAAGCCGTCGTCGCAATCGAAGCCTTTTCCGTCCACAGAGTTTGATCAACTATTGATTCAAAAGAAAAAACGTCGGGCCAGTGACGAAATAACATTGTTCAGTGTAACTACCTACAAATTTTCACGGTGACACGTTCCGCTATTACACTCGGCCCTACCCTGTTGCACATGTGTGCCGTCTGTCGATTGCGTAATAGTTTGGTGAGTATCTGACCCTGCAGTCCAGTACCGTGAGTTATGTTGGTCTTGACGGGAATCTTCCCTGTTCTCGGCAGTTCTATTTCAAGACACTATGCACGTTTCGTTTTGTGTTAATAACATTTGCACCGGTGTGCGTGTTTTTGTCTGCCTTGTTGAAACTAACAATCATGAGAGGGGAACATGTGCCTCACCTCCGGGTTCAGCGAAGTTGGGCTAGTACATTTAGCTACCTTGTCACCTTAGCTTTCCGATCAATTTGTGGCACCTGATAGCTGATGGTGCAGGAGAAGAAGCTGCCTTGTGGCAACGTGGTTGGAGATGTACATTTGAGACACCCTGCACCGAGCTTCGAGGCGCTCAAACAGAAGTTGTGCAGCGTCTTGGTTCCACTGTTCGTGATGTCAAAAGCGAATGTGATGCTCTCGTCCACGTTGGTGTAGCCGTTGATGTTGCCGTCGACCCAGGTACCAGTTGCGTCTACAGGTGGAACGACCAGGGGGGCAGCGAATTGGCAGTTCATTTTGCACGTAGTGTCCTGGACTTCACACGGGAACTCGTTTTGTCTATTCGATCTAGGTGTCCACGAACAAGTCGTGCGTCCAGGCGTAGCGATAAAATTGTGGAGTCTCTTCTCTTGCATGCATGTAACCGCTCGGGGAATGGACTCTAGGGGAGAGTTGAGTCGACCCGATGGTGCCGAATAAGTTACGGTAGTACACAGTCCCGTGCAGTCCAGTGGTTCACAGCCTGAGGAACTGTAGAAGGCTTCGAGGAGTGATTTTTCAAACAAGATCAAGTGCACCATCGCCGATTCGATTGGGGGCATTACTGTATTGTTACTAGTGATTTGTGCCGCTGAGGACTTCCTGAAACAATTCCACATATCGTGTCCAGGATAACGGTCGGGGTTGGTAGAAAGATCCAGCCGACTGCATTGCATATTGCTTATATTGACGTTAGTATCCAACGCGAATCGAATTGCAGGTTACACATGTACCATACTGTACGCCATGCCACACTGAACCACGGGAACGGCCAAGTCCTTTGTAGCGCTCGTTTCAAAGCATTGCTCACCGACCGTTACGAATGGAGCTCCGCAAGTTTCGGAAGGGTCAACCACGTCGAACGTAATACTGGTCGGCAGCGTGGGGTGGGTGGCTGGCGAGTTGTCGCCATCTGTGTAGGAAGCGCTTGCAAGTGTTTCCACGAAGTCCCCAACACTAGCACAGTCGCAACCGTCGATGACATAGGTCATCTTGCGTAGAGAGTCGTCAAGCTTCGCGATGTTCCACGTTAGGGTAGATCCTGCCCAGGACGTATTGGCCACACACAGGGTAGGGGGGAATACCGTATTTGTCGCAAACCAAATAATTGTTATCTGTGTACCTTGGTTCGTCTTTGCATCGTGTCTTTCATTGTACTTTTTGTTCAGTTCTTCTGACGGCTCCACCACTTTTTCATCCACGGCTTAGATCGTCTGTGGTGAGCTTGTGTGAGAACCATCATCCACAACCACAACACCAACGGAAAAATCAACTGGCCGACCAAACGCGACGTGTATCTACCGTGTATCTATTAATGCTAGCCCCCGTCGAAGAGGTTTCAAGTACATGGATACACGGTAGTTGTGACCAACACTAGAAATGTACTCTTTCAGCAGCAGGTGCCCCCTCCTTCGTTTAAACAAAAAAATCGTCTCACCGTCGGCCGCGCACGTCTCGCCCTCGCACTCCAAGGCCGTCGGGACGCCCGCAGCGGTCGAAACAACCACCGCAATCTCCACATTGTTCGCACATGCTACCGAAATGCGGCTTACGAGCTCCCCAGCGAAGCTGTCGTCCAAACTGGCGAAGTCTTCCAGATCCAGGACGTAATCATCAGGGTCGAAATCCCCGGTATGTGGACCGCCGATTTCCTGATACGGGTTCAGGCATGTTAAAGTGGTAGGA